GCTGACGCTGTCGTTTTTTCCTGTCGACATTTCTCAGCCCTTTATTTTTATTTTATTTTTCTGTCCCATAAAATTCATTCTCGTCGACGTCGGCAAGCAGCGACGCTTGGCTGCAGGTTGATTAAATTATCCCTGAAGCAGCCCTGACCAGTATTCCTTCTTTTCTTTTTAAAGGCATGGCGGACAAGCACATTCTTTCCTCGCAGTTAACTGCATCGCAAAACATTAATCAAACTCCGCTAGAGCTCAGGAAAGTAAGTCCCTTAAATTATTCTGCAAGGCTATAAAATGCGGTCGGATGAGCTTCCGGTATTCCGTGAGCATTCCGTCTTTGCGAAAAATCCAAGCAAAGAGTGGAATATTTTAAATTTTCCTCCCTGAGGCGCACGAAGTGCATGCGTTTCGTTTTTTGCAAAGTTCGATAATTTCTGCGGTTTCTTGAAAACCTCTTCAGAAAACACATTTCGAGTCATATTGAGATTGAATTTAAACGGGGAAAAATTGCCTTGGTTGCTATTTGGCCAGGCTTTGGTGGAATTCACGGAGGCGTCTGAATTTTCGCTGGGGATTATTTTATGTTCAAAAATCAAGGATAGATTCCTTGAATTATTCCGCAAGGCTATAAAATGCGGTCAGATGAGCTTTCGTTATTCCAGGAGTATCTGTGCGAAAAATGTAAGGAGAGAGTTGAATATTTTAAAGTTTCCTCCCCGTGGCGCATAATGTACACGCGTTTTGTTTTTGCAAAGTTCGCGATAATGTTGTGTGATTTTATCCCAAACCTCTTCAGAATACGCATTTCGAATCATATAGAGAATGCATTTTAACGTCATACCTGAGAAAATTGCGTTGGCGTTATTTGGCCGGGATTTGGTGGAATTTGCGGAGGCGTCTGAAATTTCGCTAGGGCTTATTTTATGTTCAAAACTCGAGGACAGATTCCTTGAATGATTCCGTTAGGCAATAAAATGCAAATGAGCTTCCGGTATTCCGTGTGTATATGTTTAAAAAATGTAGAGATAAATATTATACAGTAAATTTACCTCCCCGTGGCACACAATGTGCGTGCACTTTGTTTTTGCGAAATTCGCGATAATTTTGTGTGGGTTCTCGCGAACCTTTTTAGAAAACAAATTTCGGATCATATTGACACTGTTTAGACGGCATAACTGAAGGGAATTGAGTTTTTTGTTGTTGTTATTTGAACAGACTGGTGGCATTTACGGAGGCGTCTTAATCTCGCTAGGGTTTATTTTATGTTTAAAAAATAAATACATTTACAGGAAATTCCAGAAGTCAGTGTCAACATCTGTCTCGCATGTTGAGGAAACCGTCACAGAAAAGTTCACTGAATTGATCGATCAAGCGTGCTACATTCTTGGTTGAGGCTCTCGACACCAGGTCACTTCGCATCTGCACTATACCCGAGGCTCCGGGCGGCAACGAGTTCGTTTGAGGCCGCGGCCCAGATCCGGAAGTAAAGAAAATTCAACTCGTAGTAGCTTAATGAGTGCCCCTTCGGGTATCGTCGGCCTCGTGTGGGACACTTTTGACTCAGTTTGTTCCGTCGTGATCCCCTGACACGATTATTGTGTTCGGCTTTACTCCTTGCTCATCTTCGACGGGAACGTTTTCTGATGCGAGCGAAGTAGAGAAAGAAAGATAAACTTCAATAATATAAGAAAAAAATACCAGTATATTTATTTTCATCCTTTATTGAAGTCTTTGAAAAACGTGTACGAGTTTACAGGCGTCATTGTAGTTGTCTTACGTAAATCTAAGTGGCTCTCAGTAACCCTAAGACTGTGCAGATCATTTTGGGATAGTTCTTCTGATGTCAAGCATAGATATTGTATATGGCTCTCTTGTTATGGTTTTCATATTGATCCGGAAATCAGGTGGACAATTATTCAGATTTGGGTTATGAAATGCTTACATTCGATCAGGATATCGAAAAAATCAAAATTATTGAAACGTCGTGAGAAGCTATTTCATCAGGGTTCATTTTTGCAACATTTTTTTAATGATAGCTGTTGGTTTTTATTTATCTGCAGAATAAGATCACGTTTTTCGAAACTGATCCTTGACATTTTGAAAGAGTCTCTGTGTATGCTAAGATTTTAACGTTTTGTTTAATTTGTTGCGTGGAAACTTCAGAAATATCGAGTGTTTACAGCTTTTCCCACTCGTTACGAAGGAATTATACCTGAATCGTGAAACGTCAAAAACAAAAAAATATTTCATTCTCTTCTCATATTGCTTGACTTTCTAGAATCCATTCAGAGCCTTGATACACCTGTAGAAAAATAACATAAGCCACGCTTCATCAAACAAAGAACGTCGAAACCTTTTGTGTGTGCCTCAATGCTAGTGATTCATCGCTTCATCGGCAACTACGTCGTCTAATTGGGAAACTAGCGTGGGTTCCCTTCCTAACTGCTGACGTATCACATGGGAAACGCCATGCTTCCAAAATGAAACCCTGCAAGAAGGTTTCGTTCGGAATATTGCCGACGCGTGTCTAATGGAGGAAACCTTGTTTTCCGATTTCAGATGTTTATCTTTGAAATGCGCGGAAAACAGAAATGATCGTCATTTTCAAAGTTCGCGGCTGCAGTTGCAAAACGCCGTTAATTTAAAGATGAACTTTTATCTTTATCTCTCCAAAACTAGAACAAAATATATCTGTAAATGCGATACGCACTTTCCATTACTTTTTTTCCTTTCATAATCAGAGCAGTTTGTTCACATTCACTTCAATTATTTGCATATTAGCCAACTCGGACGCACCCATAACTTTATTCGAATCAGGATTCTAACCCTTGTGCCGTTCGGAAGGAAATGTTTTTAAATATTCTCAAAATTGAATTTCCCCTGAATTTAAATTCGGACGATTGTCTTTGTCTAATAGGAAGCAATCATGCGACGCCAAATCTGGTGAAGATAATGGAATTTTAAAACCCGATTTTTTCTTCTGCTGATTTTTTGAGACAGAAATTTCATCTCACATTTTATGCGCAGCATGTATCCTTGAAAAATGCCATTTCAAAGTGTAATCTTCGATGCTCGGTAATTCATGATTTACAGACTGTAAAATCACGCCGAAGAAGCAGGATTCGAACGCAAATCCGAGATTATTGTCGTTTTTCATTCTTGCGGAATCAATAACGTATTTCATGTGCTGAATTATATTTTAAACTCGGTTGGTGCAGATTTCACCAAATTACTGGAGGCGTAAGGTTCGGTTTTGATGCTTGCATTCCGTGGATGAGTCATATTTTCGGGGGGAAATAAAATACTGTACTGTAGATTCAAAGCATGGTCTTGAGTATTTGGATTGGTCCGAAGCCCCTCCATGAACGGAAACACCGTTGAGGCGTGAACTTGTTCAGTTGTGGTTGACAGGAGGAATTGTCAGAGCAGTCCACGATGTATTCAGATGAATGCGAGTATGAAAAACAGTCGCGAAGAGATCATTGAACCGAATGGCGCGGAGAGAATTCAGAATCGCGGCCAAGGAACCAGTGCGTGACAGGTTCGCAGTTCGGCCTTGTCCGGGACGCTTTTTTCAGAATGAATGACTGTAATTTGAGGGAAATCGGGATCCATTTCGCGAAGTCCCTGTCTTCAGCCAGGGCCAGACACCACCGTTGATTTCACGCCCCTCATTAAGCGGGTTTCGCGTGTGCCAGTTCACGGCAGATATTGTGGGAAATTCACCCTGGCGAGCTGAGGCAAACGGCCCTCAGAAGGCCAACGCCCCGGACACCTTTTTTTTGTTTTGTTTTATTTTTTTAATGACTCATGCCAAGTGAAATCGGATGGGCGGCCGAAAGCGGTGCAACACGCAGATAATGCCTCGGTACCTAATTAAAATTCCTCGTCGGGATTCATTCGGAACGATTTTTATCATCGCACGGGAGAAATTTCCGCCGGTTTCCTGGAGCGTGACGTTTTCTTGGTGCATTATTAGTTTTTTCGTGCGTCGGAGCGACAAATTTTACTTGCCTATCTTACTGGAAGACATTGATGAAGCGCTCGAGTTTCGGATTGCTGTCGGTTCATCATCAACTTGTTACTGGCTGAGTATTGATGTCAAATACAGGAATGTCGTCGATGTTAAATCAGTGATGCCGGATTTTTCCTGCGGCGTTTTTCCGACAAATAGATGCTTGAACGCGTAGCTCGGTACCGTGATCAAAAAGCCGAGTTGATCAGGAAATGTTCCTCCTTGAATTCCACTTCTTTTGAAGGCATCATCAACATTTTTGTTTCGAATGCTCTGGTTCCAAATTAAGACGTGATTATGTGAGAAAGGGAAACGAAAGAATTCAATGTAAAATTCTCACTTCAACGATGAAAGGAGCCAGATGAGCTGTTGCATTCTCTACCCTTTGTGAATACTTCGGGAGGAATCAAAGTAATGAGATAATTTCAAAAATGTGAGCGGAATCGGAGACATTCATACTTGGTTTAGGAATTTATTTCCTCGTCTGAAAAAAATTCTTGTGAACTAGCCGCTGAAAATCTGGATAAGGAAAATTTCGAGGAAGCATATCGTAAAAGTTGAATCACGCAGTTCTTGAAATAAATTGAATCCGTGATGATAATTTCGTCGGGTTTGGGACGGAGAATTAGTTTCAAGTCATTCTGCAGTTGTCATTTTCTTCATCAAAATCTCATGAATTGCTGTTCTTCATCCACTATTTGTACCACGTTACCATTCCTGGAAAAGTCTACCCCTTCGCTAGAAAAGCGTCTCGTGCCGTTTGTTAAGAAGACGGGGTTCCACGGGTTGCTAAGCCTTGGTGCATGATGAATGCTCCATCATTCATGGGTCTGAATTCTTGCGATGTCTATAATTTATCAAGGTGACGTTTCTGTCCCTCGTCTATATTTCGTGCACTATTTTCTACAAAAATCTACCTGTATGCTAGAAGATTGTCAAGCACCACTTGACAATCTTCTTGAGAACCCTGGGTACCACTGATCGAAACGACATGGTGTATGTCAGTGCCAGTGGTCTGCAACCCGCAGAAGTTTTTCTGCTGGTCTGTAGGAAATATTCTTCAGCATGATACATTTATCAAATGTAAAAATGAAGTCTTTTATCTTTATCTTAAATTTTAGAAAGACAATGGCTGTTGAAATTATCTGATGAAAAATATAAGCTAGCTTTTCTCCTCATAATACTTCGGGCAAATTTTCACCACCTGGAATTAATTACTGTATTTTAAGCATTTATTTTAAGAAACCTTTCTTGACACCCAGCTGTCTATTTGTTTCGAAGACATTCCATTGTAGCTGCTTCGTTTGTTCGTGCCTTAATTTCTGCAATACTGTACCAGTTTTTCGTATAGTTCTTCATATGGCAGGCATTCAAAAAATATTCCGCCAGTCCGCGAGGAATTTTATGGAAACTTGCTGGCCCACAAGCCCCGAAAAGGTTGTGGAACACTGGTGTATGAGATGCGTGTGGACGGACACTCGTCATTCATGGTTATAAATTCTTGCATTCCCAGGCCAGTTCATTGATCGAGTGCGAGTGGATCGTGGCGTGGACCTGTCCAAGGTGACCTTCGAGCTGGGAGAGTCGGCGCATTTGGACGGGTCCGACTTCTTCCGCATTGACCCCAAGACCGGGAACATCTATTTGGACGAATCCCTGGAAGACCACGTGAGTGCGATGCATTTTCCGCATAACGCGAACCTGCCTGGAACTCATCAATTACCACGCAGAAATAATGAAATCAATTCCACCCGGATGAGGTGGATTCCAACGAATGGTGGCTTGTGTACCTATAGTTACCGAGGGAGAGCGAAGCGGAAGCGCTTTTCATTTTTCTCTGCCGACAGGCTTCCATGACACCGATCTCCTGTATACATTATGGTTCTTCACCTTCTAAATGAAAGGCATTTTTTTCGGTAAACCTGTTTGAAAGGTGGACACATGGTAAGGATAACTGAAACTCGGTGATCATTTACTTGAAGCGAAACGATTCGATATTTCTCCCCGTGGAGAAACGAGTTCTAGAACTGAATGTTGCCTGGAAAGTTGAAATGGTCCGAATCTTCTGATCAAAAAATATTCTTTCAGTTGTGGTAGATGTCACTGGTGGTTACAATTATAAAGTAGAATTTCTCAAGGCAGAATTTCAAGGAAGCAGCAAAAAAATCGAGTTGAGGAAAGAAGCATTTTTGCTGGGGAAAAGAAGGAATTACAGGAAATGATAGCTGGTGATATTCTGGGTCTTGAATTGCTTCTTAAATGAGTTGGTAGGGTGCTGAAATTCATTTGCCCGATTAGTCTTTCACTTCTATTCAAAACACGTCATGTTACGTTTTAATTGATCTTCTCTTTCCTTTGTCAATGAAGAAATATGCAAAAGGCCCCGTAAATTTTGAGTCATGAAGGTTTGAGAGGGAAAGCCTTCAAGCTAGGTAGGTTTTAAGATGCATTGCTTATAAGTTATTTAGAGAGGGACTTATCCTTTGTCAATGAAGAAATATGCAAAAGGCCCCGTAAATTTTGAGTCATGAAGGTTTGAGAGGGAAAGCCTTCAAGCTAGGTAGGTTTTAAGATGCATTGCTTATAAGTTATTTAGAGAGGGACTTAACAAAAATTCGAATTATCTAGGTTCAAGTGTATTTCCGTTTCACAACTACAGTACTGTACTGAGCCATCCCAGATTTCATCCGCTTATGGATTTAATTTGTTTCAATAATTAGAATCTTATGGCATATTTTTATTGCTTCATGCATCTTTTTTCAACCATCTCGACGTCTTCAGCGAGAGTTTTTATGGAAATCTGCAAGCGTTGTGTTTCATATTAGGGCCACGCAAAAATTAAAACGTTTCCTTTGCCAATTAACCTTGTGTAGGTATTCTTTTTTGCTTGGCCTGTTCTGCAAAATCCGCAGTAAAACTTACGAGTGAGTTGGTAGATACTGTATCTTCTTTTTTTTCTCGATGGATGATGATCGAGTGAAAGGCGAGGTTCGATGATGATGAGAAAAAAGTTTGCTGACGTGACAACCGGGTTGTTGATGACAGTCTGTGGCGTCGCGCGGGGATTTTAATTGGATGCCCGAGAAATTTGCCCTCATTACGTTTGTTTGCCGTGATTCCAGGTTGATCAAGAGTTCTACTTGTTCGTCAAGGCCTCGACTGTTGACGGGCCAACGTCGAGCCTGGAGGTGAGAGTCTTCGTTGAGCCGCCGGATGAGGGCGCCAACGGCGGCCCTCCGCGTCTATCTGCTCCCCGCCCCGGCTTGCCTTTCAGTGAGTTTCTTTTTCCAGGCGTTTAAATTTTTTTTTTAGACACATGTCGATTGCTCGAACTTCCTCAAGTCGAATACCTCTTTACGTCTAATTTTTTTTTTCAAGTCCTTGTCTGGATTCCCTTAAGAAACCTTGCATTGAAAACCTCCCTTACTCAAAGGTTTTCCTCATAAAACCTTTATTACTCGAATTTTCTGGAGCTCTTTTGGCTGTTATCTTATAGATGCAGAAAGAGAAACGCAGTAAAAAATGTAGCGATGTGTTTTGAAAATAAGTGAAAGACTAATTGAGCAAATGACCCCTTGCCTCCATCAAGTTCAGCATCCTATCATCAACTCATTTAAGAAGCAATTCATGGCCCAGAATATCGCCGATTAGAATTTCCTGCATTTCTTCTCTCTTTCCCCAACAAAAATGCTTGTTTCCCGAACTCGAATTTATTTGCTGGTACGTTAAAGTTCGACCTAAAGAGTTTTGACTATACTGCAGTCCCTTCTCGAAAAATTCCCTTGCCGGACATCGAAATGTACGATTATGCGACTACTGTATTTACGGGGACGTGAAAAGCGGAATGCGCTGCATTCTTCAAGTGCGCCCCTCGTGAACATGATCATTAAATCGAGCCCAAGTAAATATTTTCGTACTTGCCGACTATAGTTGTTTTGCGCTGCAAAACGCTGGGTTTTTATATACAGTATTGTAATACTTATGCAGCAGATGTTCGAGCAAGTTCGAACGTTTTCTTGAAGATGCGTAGGGCAAATTTAGAGTTCTTCGCGCACAATTCAATTACCGTCGAAGTAATTGGTCGTCGTTCGAATTCCTTCGTGGAATGAAGGAATGAGAATAATTGACGCGTTTGCTCCGGTGAAATTAGTTTTTCTGGAAGACTCTGGGCATACCTCATATTTTTCCAGCTTGACATTCATCATTTTTGATATCCAGATATGTAGGTCTACTTTTTATTTAATTTTCCCATTTCGTCGGTTCTTCTTGTGCTAGATGGCTATTGAGTTGCGTTCGCTTTAGCCACTGAAGATAATCTTGGCAACTTTTTTTCAGACGCTCAGCATTTTCAGCAGGACTGAATTCGTGAAATAAATTTTGAAAGGTCATCAGTGAACTCACGCAAAACTCTCTCAGTAGAAAGAAATTGGTGCAAGTCATTTTCTTGAATTTTTCTTCATGTTTTCATGCTACAGTATCGTATCAGGACAGGTGACTGAAATTTTCTGCGAATAATTAGAAATAAACCTTCATCTTTAACTGATTATCGCAATACAGTACAGTATTTGTATTCTAAGCCAGTCTTACGATATATTTTTTCTTTTTGCACCATAGATAATATAGATAAAAAACATGTATATATTTCGGGCATTAAAGAAAATTATATTCAAAATTTACAATTTTTAATTTTATACTACTGCTTTTATAGATTTTATGCTACTAAACACGCGCTTCTTTTACTGATTCTGACAGTCCTACCAAACTGTATGGAAATTTGAAAGGCAATAAATTCCGTTCACTAGCTTGCTTCTCATCGTTATTCATCATTTAGTGCAGTCCCATTTCCCCAAACTTATAGTTCATGAGTTAACGCGGTTAAGCCCTACTTAAATACTGTACAAAAATTGCCCGGTGATATTGACAGAAATAGGTTGCGGACTGTTCTCGGAAAAAATAATTTATTATCTCTATAATGGAGGGAAGTTACTGCATGTCTTCACCTCCGCATAAATAAAATTTCGTGGTCCTTTTGTTGCCTCTAAATTACTTTAAAGGACTTGAGCATTCGGATCGAATGATAACTTGCTGACGAATCCTAGTCTGTCTCCTTTTCTTCAGAATATGCCATAAACTGCGTCGTATTCTAATCTTCAGAGCGAACCGAAAATTGCCTCCAATTTCATTGTGAAGACAAAAACACTGCGTTGCATTTTGAAACTGGTAGTAAATTCACACTGCATTTTTCTTTTACGCTAAAATAAGCTATTATTTCAGACGTGAGCAATTATTAATAGACCCACGAAAACGGGTGGATATATGCTCATAATTTCCAAGAAATTTCCGGGAAATGTTCCTTTTCTTTTTCTTATGCCCAGAGGAGTGAGTTTTCATTTTTACAGCGCTTCGGCTAGCTTTGTGAAAATTTGAAATTGTTGCTGATAGCTTCCTGAATTTCGCGAGTATTTGTAGGAGAACATAACGAAGTCTTACCAACTCCTTTTTCACGCGCAAAAAATTCGTTGTTCATATGATGCCAGGCTTTCACTGTCTTTTTCATTGATTAATCTGCTTCCAGTAATTTTTTTCTTCAAATTTTACGTTCCAAACTTCCTGAAATTCATGCATGGTTTTGGGTCATAGTATAGTTAATCTCGCAAGTTACTTACCTATTCTCGGAACGAGAGGAAGATGTCGGATGCCATCAAATATTCTCTGTTACTTCCGATGATGCTTTTAAATTCGGAGATTTTCGTGTTCGGATTGCGTGACAAGTTCCTCTTTTAATCCTTTGTCATATTATTTGGATTAACGCGCTTCAAAAATGTCAGTATACTTATTCGTTAGTGAGGTCAATCGTGAGATTTCTTCCATCAGTTTGATAAAAATTTCAGTCTGCGATCATCCGTAATACTGTTTTTAATTTTCCGGACAATTGTCATGGGATGATTTTTGTTAGTAAGGAAATCGTGGCCTAATAAATAAATGTCTGCGGGTCGCTATATGAAGTCCCAGCATGGCACGACGTTTTGGGTCAATCCTGGCTTTATAATTCAGCGATAGTTCGCGTCCATTTTGTGAAACCAACGTTTTACTTCATAATTTCCAGCAACAAAAGAAAGAAGTATCTGGGGAAATGAACAGTGTCGACACGACGGACGAAAGCAGCCGCGGTGAAAGCAGCATCGTGACGTCTCCCAGCGGGCTGATGCACTGGCACCGCGCCCTGTCGAACCGTTATGAATCGACGGGTCCAGGCGAGGAATCCGCGCCAGTGAGAGACTCTGTTCATTTATTTAAAATTATTTTAATGATTTTTGACGACGTCGGATCAATTTGATCTTGATTTGTCATTGTCACATTGCCGTCATTTAATATTTATATATATATATTTTTTTTTCGTACAGGCGTTGACCGAACAAAGTAAATGGGAATTCCCTAGGCATCATCTTCGCATTCTGGGGATTCTTGGAGAAGGCTGCTTTGGTCAAGTGTGGAAGTGCGAAGCCCTTAACGTTGGAGGTAGAAGACATTTTTGAAATCTGTGTTAGACTTTAGAGCTATATACCGTGTTTTTACCCGAGTACAGTATAAGACATTTTCTGAGAAAGTGGTCTCAAAATAACCTGTTTGCTCCGCAAAATTAATGTTTTCTTATGGTCGCTGGGTCCATCAATAAAGGTTGAAATTTCTGGTGTACAGGTATTTTGTTTTAACAAATATTATACAGGATATGCCACTTTTTGAAGAAGATATAGTAATATGCTTTCGAATAATCTGAGAGTGTCTAATTATATATGTCACAAGGAAACGAACTTGTAAACTGGAAATGCACTGTATTTTTCTATCATGCTTGCTTTTAATCTAGCGCTCCGTTTTATCAGCTCGTGCTGCGAAATTTAAAATTCTCTATTAGATTTTTCTTCGCTTTCCCCGGCTTCGTGTTCTGTGCATGCTTGATAAATTTGACTGATGTATGCGCAGATGTCGAAGGTACGACAACGGTGGCTGTGAAGACCCTGAAAGAAAACGCTGGAGAACGAGAAAAGCGCGATTTATTGTCGGAACTAGAAGTGATGAAAATGCTCACCCCGCACCCGAACATCGTTACTCTCCTCGGCTGCTGTACAATTAAAGGCAAGTCAATCAAAAGCCTGCAATCAACATTATCAACTTAATTGGGATATGACGAAGAATATTTTCCTTTGCAGAACCGGTGTTCGTGATTCTCGAGTACGTTCAACACGGAAAACTGCAGAGTTATCTGCGAGCGAGCAGAGCTGAGCATTATTATGGAAATCTGCACGGGAAGTCTTCGCATCTCACTTCACGGGATCTCACCTCTTTCGCTTTCCAAGTCTCAAAGGGAATGGATTACCTGACTTCTAAAGGCGTTAGTAATTTGCACCATCGTATAAAATAATAAGCTCTCTATGGAAATCAGAGACACCAGCATTTTTACATTCTTCATATAATTCCCATTTTTGTATTTTAGTCTCGTGTTTTGAGGGAACGCAGCATCCTGATTTTCTTCAAATGTAATAAGGGAGTAATGCATGCAATGGTGGTTGATTTTCCCTGGCTGAATCGAGAAAAGATCGGTTTCTTCAATACTGTAATCCAGGTGTTTTTTTTTGTTTAGAGGCTGCATATACCGGTGAGAATTTGAGGTCTGAAAATCATTCATCCACGTTTTTTTTTATCGTTCAGATAATTCACCGCGATTTGGCGGCAAGGAACGTGCTTGTCGGGGAGAAGAACATTTGCAAGGTTGCCGATTTTGGCTTTGCACGAGATTTAGTTGGCAATGGAGTCTACGAAAGGAAGAGCGAGGGACGATTGCCGATCCGGTGGATGGCGCCGGAGTCTCTGTATGACAACATTTTCACTGCCAAAACTGACGTGTGGAGTTTCGGTGTCCTCATGTGGGAGATAGTCACTCTTGGTGTGTAGACGATGCGAAATTTTTTATAGTTTAAACCGCGTTCTGAGATGTACATTTCGCTTCTTATGGGAAAATATTCAAGAAACTGCACTTACGCCGCTACAGACGCCGTGATTTTTTTTCGGCTGTCACATAGATGTCGCGTGAAGCATGTTGTACTCGTAAAATTTGTTTTGGGCACATCGACTTCGCGTGCGTCCGTTTGATATAAGTTCTCAATCTGAGATTAAGGTCCTTCATTGCATTTCAACAATTCAGAAGGTGCTTTGAAATACAGTAGCTGTAAATCTTCTTTTGCCTCGTTACTTGCTGGGACGTGGCCAGTTATATTTTCTCAGTGAGGCTTAGCACGATTCAGATTAACATCTATGATCATCACTCCTTGTTCTTGCGTTTGTTTCATTGGGATAAGAGAGTTTGAAGCAGTTTTTCTATTTTCCCTCAGGTTCAACGCCATATCCGGGAATGGCAGCCGGAGACGTAATGCGGAAAGTGAGAGATGGTTACAGGCTGGAAAAGCCAGATCACTGTCGCCGAGAAATTTACAATATCATGTACTACTGCTGGGACCGGGACCCGAAAGAAAGGCCCAATTTCAGCGAGTTGACCCAGTTGCTCGACCAACTCCTGATGTCAGAGACTGATTACATCGAGTTGGATCGCTTCCCAGATCACGCTTACTACAACATCATCTCAAACATGAGTGGAGAGAAACTGTGAATGTCCGGGGAATGAGTTGATTTTTTTTATCGTTCTCGCTGAGTATTTGACTGTAATTCGGCGATCGGTCACATTTCCGCATTAGCTGTTAATATTGCTTCATGCAGAAGCACATAAGACAACGGGTCCAGCGGTGCGGTGGAAAATAAGTCAATCGTTTTACTCTCCATCAAGGAACTCGATGGCCTCACACACCTGTGCTTTCTTGGTTAGTGTCATGCTTCTTCGTGAAGCAGAATTTTCAGCTAATGCCGAAGTTTGACAGCACTTTATCAGTTTAGTGAATCTCCATGAAGGACCGTGATTCGTTCGCATCCCATAGGCTTGGTTGCTGCGAAAAACTGTGATAATATCCCGCATACTTGAGAAACCTTGATTGAATGAAGGTTCATGGGTCGTTCGGGTCACTGAGAGGTACGTCAGAAGAAGGTGTATACACAATGCATGCTGGTGACTGATGCCTTATCAGATGTTGAGCTGGTTCTAGCCCCAGAAGCCAACAGGAACTTTTTTCTTTTTCTAGATTATGGCCTCTTTCTTTTTTTTGCTGTTGAATGCGTGAAACGCGAACTGCGGTTATAATGCAGTGATTGTTTTGCGAACGTGGTCTAGCGTTTTCTTAGAGCATGCGTCATCGGAATTTCATAATGCAAATGGATAACTGCTGTGAATGTACTGTATTATACATGTACAGTACTGCCATCTATATTTTTCACGTAGTCTGCAAAAATGTGAAAATTACGCTGAAGGAAGATGATAATATATTTTGATGAAATATGTCGGATCACGCGGATACAGATAAGAATCCCACAAAATATTTGCAGTTTTTTCCATAAACGTTTTCTTATTGAAAATTAATGATTATAGTTGCTTCATTGCCATGACGAGCAACGTTTATTACGATCATCATCAGAGTCTTCTTCTTGAGAATTTTTTGTGCTCCTGAGTCCGGGACAAGTGATACAAGCGTATTTCAAGGTGTGAAAAGCCTTTCGAAAATATTGAACGAGCTTTTTAAAGCTAGAGGAACTCGTCTAATAATACTCATTTGAGTGAATGTAATAACTAGTAAAGCCAGGTCACTAACTGAAGGTAAACATGTCTTTAGCATTATGGATTTTTTATGATCTTTATTGCCAACTAATTCATCACATTTATTAGAATACTAATAACCCAGAGGTACAAAATGTAATTTCAGGACATCCGCGCGTGGCTGGTCCGCAGGAAAAATCTATACAGAATACAATGACAATAAGTTTATAATACAGCATATCATCCATAAGTTGCAGTTAAGTATGCCTGCGTAATGGGAAGTAAGAGTGCTCAAGGTTTGTTATTCTCTCGATCCCTGAAGCACATGATGCATCAGTACACTCTTCATCCCAAAATTGAAGATGGATTGGTGATTTCTATATAGAGAAATCAACATTTTCTCGAGGAGACCTCAGGCGCAAAAAATTAATCTTGAAATAATTAAAATGCTGTCCAAGTTACCCCGAGTTCATAAATCGATCAGAATTTTGAAACGCGTGCTGCTCATGATCTTCCAAAACGCACGCATCAGTATAAATACTGTACTGCACTGTATTTCGTGAGCTCTGAGCCTTCCTCTGGATTGAAGCTCAGCCAAAATCATCGGATTTTTCATAAAAACGTGAACTAACACCAGTTTAGAATTGTTAATGCAAATATAATTTTTATTCAAAATTAACCTTTTTATTCAAAATAGTTTTGGAGCAATAAGCGCAACTTTTATGATACATTTTTGAGAAAGTTTCTCAAAACTTAGATGTGCATCCGTTCTGAAAATCGGTGCGAGCTTGTAAAATCACTTAACACAAAAATTTACCTGGCGGTATCAGACATAGTATATGGTGATCGACTCTATTTTGACAGCAAAATAATCACGAAAATAATAATTTCGGAAATTCAGGAACATGACAACTGAAGGTGCACAACACGCGTAACCTAAATAGGTTTCAGAGCAGGAACACAGAGCCTTGGGAGGACAGGAAGCATGACGAACTATGGAGGCTCAATTGACGCTTGTCCTCGTATAAAATGTGTCCACAGGACAGTTTACTCTCTCTTCAACTCTCATGACGTGGATTGGTTCGCATCGGTCTTTCATGATTTAGCTTGCTTGAAGATCATTTTTGGTGGATTCTGCGTACGATGAGAAACCAAACCTTCGCAAATGATGCCAAATCTCCAGTTTCATGTGGAAAAACCGTGCTGTCGATTTATCATCTGGGATGACAGCTGGAAGCTGAAAGATAACCCTGCAAATAACCTGAACACCATCGGATGCTGTTTCCTCGCACCTTACACGAGAAAACAGCAGACTTGAAATAAGTTCACTGAAATTAAGTTAGAATTTTCTCAATTTTTGCACTCAATAAACAGAATTGACGCTGAGGAGAGTTCACCATGAGTACAGGTGGGACTTCAGAGATTCAGAGATACAGGTGCTACCCCACAATTCGACCCTAATGTCCATTGCTGGACTAGGGTCAAATTGCAAGACAAAATCAAATGAATTGTTCTCTACATCGCATTTGATGTTTTGTATCTTTCTGCAGGTTGAATTGCGGACAGAGGTTGAATTATGGGAGGCCAAATTGCAAGGTACAACCTGTAATGATATGAGAAAATTTTCAAATACACGTAGGAACTGCTGTTGTTGACCAGTCATTCTAGACTTCGAGAGGCACATTATATTTTGCAATAAAATAACGCGCTCTCTTTGTCGACCATCAAACAAACCCTACTTTACAGTACATTACTGTACTTCATTGTTCCAAACCCGTGAGTACTATTGTCAGTACAGTATTCAGATTATAGGCGGTAGCCCGGTTATATGTAACTGCGTTTTATATAACTGAATTTGAATCTCAAATATTCACTGATCATTGAACTTGTACGGCGGACTGGTTGAAATAATGAGCACTTTTATCAGCTTCCCCTTCCCCTCCTCACGAGAACTCACACTGGGCATGATGGCTGCCTACTACGGGATCAGGGCCTGCAGTTGTGTCGGGTATTCTGTTCGGAGAGGTTGTTCCCGGTGGAGATGAGGGTCCCGAGCACTGTTCGAATGTTATGTAGTGCGTGTCGAGTGATGTGGAGATGCTATGCCTACCTCCTGCTATGAACAATCCACTGAAGGAGTGTACTATTCAGTTGTTTGTATCGGCTTGGGAGTCGCTACTGTTGGCAAATCGAAATTTATAATTATCAACTCTGTATTCGCGCCCAAGTGATTTCAACTTCCTAAATATTGCCTTTGGAAGCATGAAGCTTGCTTGCGCAGAAATACGTGAAATTTATCATCAACTGTGAAACTTTTGTTGGAGCGTTTAACACTCTCGGACTTCGTTATAATCGTTGTGTATGGTGGTTCTTTGATAGGATCTTATACGTGTTTCGCTACAACAAGAACGAAACAGGTGGTGTGATGGTTATCAGCCCGTTTTCCAAATTGTCCTATTGTTTTTGTGAACACTTTGAACCCCCTGAAAACCGGCATTAGTAAATAACCATCTAGCGAAAATAGCGTTTGAGCATTCATTTGTTCTGTCGATGAGGCCGTTTTGTCTGAAATTAGTGAGTGGATCACGATGATAATCCCGGATANGCCCACGTTCTACAAATCAAGGGTCTGGCCACCGTAACCAACGAGGACCGGACGCGGGTTAGTACAATGTTCTGTTCTCAAGGAACGTCTAGGAATGCTTCGGGATCTTATTTTATGTGCTATCAAGTAACAATCGCTGTGGGAAATCTGTGTTTCCACGTTGTGGTTAGTTTTCATTATTTCCTTGCGATACGAGAACCCTTTCATCCAAATAAGTTTACTGTAACTGACCCACGCCCCCTATTCCGTAAGTGCATTTAAATCCGTTTAACCAAGCTCTGATTAACGATGCCAGTATTTCGACGCACTGAGAAGAAACAAAGCAACGTGGTTATCTTAAGCCGCTTATTTTTAGATGATTGCCTATTCATCCGTCCTGACACTCTTGTGAATTTGTGGAAAAGTCACCGGTCTAGGAATAAGTTATGCAGTTTTTGCTTTGTTTTAGTGCAGATTTTGATTATGTAAGATTTTCTAGCTGTGTTAATATTGACTATCGGAGAAAAAGAAACCGGTCATCCGCGATGAATGGATTTCTATTATATTGCATTTTCATGTTTCGGTGAGAAAACGATTTCGCTCAATCACACGAACCTACTAAAGCATGAACTTGTACCCTACCAAAAATCTCCTAACCTATCAATTAACTTGTTTCCAACTAGCTGTAACAATCTACGGTATCTTAAAATCCCGGTCTCATATATTCTAGCTTTCGTTGAGTAAATGTGGGCTTATGCGAATGAAGGAAAGAACAGTGCAAGGAGGATCTTGAAGAGAAAATGAAAACTCTCAGCGAATTTTTCACGTTGCCTAATTTATAGCCTAGGACGTATTCTTGATCCTCGGAATTCTCGAAAGCTAATTTTTAGGATCTCGTGCATTCGTTTGGCCGGGAGTTGGTGGAACGACGTAGAAGTGTAAATTTTTCCGCTGGATGTTAATAGCAAAGTTTTTTCTACCTTCTTGCCGTGCGAAATGAATGCCGAAATTCAGCTGAAGTTAGTCATTTTTCTGAATGCATATCTTTTAATCACCTCGTTGCTCATCTCGGCTGCTAACTAACACAGAATGCACTCCAGAGGTAAACACTGTACTGTACTGTAATTTATTGTTAAGAATCTTTTTCTTCCGAAGAAGTCTGGAGTACGTGTAATCTAGTCTCGCTAAACTAAATCTGCTTGCGTAATGTTCCGTGTGCGGAATTTTATAGTAGAGGAAGTTTAGTTTCGCGGATCCCCTTTAAGAAATATTTCTTGAAAGGAGCCCGTTTACGGGATACATTCACATGATGTAATACTGGTAGACTCTCTCTGCAACGATTTTATCTACAAAAATGTTCTCTGTGTACCGAATTTTGTTGTGTTCCCATAGGTGCCTCTATCCATACTATAGAGGTTCTCAACAACGCATTTTTTTATGGTCCCGTGATTCTCGTTGTAGAGAGTCCACCCGTATTCGGCATGGATTCTGTTAACTTGATTAGCAGATTTAGTAGTCCTAGCATGGTTTTGTATATCGGCATTCAATTCCATTCTCGGTAGGGCCCCTGGAAAGTTTA